TTTGGTGGTCTGTTTCTATTTAGCTTATCATGGCTGACTCCTACACCTGGCTGTTCTAGAACTCACTATATAGACCAGGCTGGCCTCAGATTCAGAGATCCTCCTGCCTCTGCCTTCCTAATGGTGACACTAGGATCACACTGCAGGTATGAGGGTACCACACACACCCAGTTTATGTAGCAATGGTGTTAAAAACCAGGGCTTTGTATAAGTTAAGCAAGCACCTCTCCCTTCAGGCGACAATTCCCCCTTCCCTTTCCCTCTCCTCTCCTTTTCTCCCCTTCCTTCTCCTTCCCCTCTCCTCTCTTCCCCTCCCCTCTCCTCTCCTCTCCTCTCCTCTCCTCTCCTATCTCTTCTCTGCTCTCCTCTCCTCTTCATTTTAGTGCTGAGTACTGAATCCAGGCTTTTATATATCCTAGGCAAGCCAAAACTTTGAAATTGTGAAAGAAAAAAAAAAAAGCTGAGAGGCTGAACATGTAGCTCACCGGAAGAGCATTTGTCTACTATGAGGCCCCAAGTTTAGTCCCTGACACCAAATAAATGAATGAATTAGTTAAGAGATAAATAAATAAATAAAACAAAGGCAAAGAAACCTGAAAAGAGTCTTGTATCAAAATTATCAGCATATATGTATAACAATACACTGATAAAATTCTTTACAACTTTTAATGGTCAGTTTTATCAAATCAGGTCAAAAAACATTCTTCCAATTACAGCCACTATTCACCATATTGTTTTTATTTCTTAAATTTCTTATTATGTATAGTGTGGGAGCCCAAAGAAGTGGATCTATCCCCCCTTGACTAAAGGTCAGAAAGCTCAGACCTATTCTTGCTCCTTCAAGGTTATAACAGGAGGTTTGACCTAAGATGTAGCTACTAACAGAATGTTTTGACCTAGGATGTGGTTACTTGATGCTTTGGTTACTGAGAAGGTAATTGCTTTAGTTGTTCCTTGTATCGTGGTAAAGAAGACTCTTGCCTTCCCCCCCTCTTTGGATTGGGGTGTATAAAGCCTATGAGAAATAAACGCCAGGTGAATCTCGGGATTTACTGGCTGCCCTCCCAACTCTAGCAATGTCTCTAGTCTCTTAATCCTCATGCTTCCCTCCAAGCACAGACCTGGCAGGACTGATGTTGTTGCCTGGATGTGGGATATGACAAATGGCCCTCAACGTGGGTCATATGGCAGTATATTGCCAGCGGGTACGTCTGTGCCCTACATGTGTGCAGTGTCTGCAGACATCAGAAGAGGGCAAGCTGGGTGGTGGGGGTGCACGCCATTAACCCTAGCACTCAAGAGGCAGAGGCAGGAGGCTCTGAGTTTGAGGCCAGCCTGGTCTACTAAGTGAGTTCTAGGACAACCAAGGCGACACAGAGAAACCCTGTTACCTGTCTCAAAAAAAAAAGGAGGAGAAGGAGGAGGAGGAGGAGAAGGAGGAGGAGGAGGAGGAGGAGGAGGAGGAGGAGGAGGAGGAGGAGAAGGAGAAGGAGAAGGAGAAGAAGAAGAAGAAGAAGAAGAAGAAGAAGAAGAAGAAGAAGAAGACGACGTCAGATCTTCCTTGGATCCTCCATCGGATGCTCCTCCTTTGGATACTGGGAACTGAACCTGGGTCCTCCAGAAAAGCAGCAAACGCTCTTCCCTGATGAGCTCCAGTTCCACCGTATTTCTTTTTCTGAAATGCTTAACATGTTCAACATCTTGTTCAATCAGTCCCCTAGATCCACGAGTTCAACTAATCACAGATTAATACTTAGAGAGCTGGACATAGTGGCACACCCCTTTAATCCCTTGGTAAAGGAAACAGGAGTAGGAAACCTCCATGATTTCAGGGCCAGACTGGTCTACTTAGGAAGTTCCAGGCTAGACAGAGCTCTAGTGAGATTGTCTCAATACCTAGGAGTGGGCATTGAACATACACGGGCATTTTCCTCTTCCCCTTTGCCTCTAAACAATACAGCACAGTAGCTATTCATTAACACATAGTATTGGTGTCACATTAGTTATTATGAGTGAAGAAGAAAGAGACTGGGAACTCAATGGGCCCTGGTAGAAACAGCCACCACCAGGCTCAGATCCTAGCTGTATGCAGAGTTCTCGGCAGCGGGAATCAGAATCTCTGCTCGCTAGCATGCAGATTCTGGGGCTCATGTGGCTCCCTGGCTCCTTCCAGAAAACCGAGGTGTGGTGAGTTCACAGCCTCACGTTATTCCTGGTCCAGCTCGAGCCCTAAGAAATGGCCTATTCAGGAGTCACAGAGATGCTTCGTGTCTTGGGGGAGTCAGCTGGAGGAGTTTCAGCCCCAGAACGCTGTGTCTTCCCAGGCACCCTGCAAAAGTTCAGTCAACTGCTCTCCAGACTGGGCAGAGGCCTCAAAGAATGCTTCCAGCGCCAGACCCAACACCAGCCTTCAGCATCTCCCAGGACAAAAGGTCCCATCCCATTTGTGCCATCTTAGCTCCGTCTATTGCATTCAAGACCCAGGATTAAGAATAGGCTTCAGCCCTGATCAGCCACAGAAAAACTGGTCTTCCCTCCCCATTCATTTTCTGTAGGACTCCACACGGTTTGTGGTATGTTGTAAAGAGTGGTTCTCAAAGTGGGACCCCTGGTCTCCTTCTTTTAATGAATGAGGACTTTGGAGTGACCCCAGTGACCCTCGTGTTAGGCAGCCCTCCAGGTGAATCAGCGCTGTGATCCTAGAGGAAGGTTGACTGGAAGAACAGATGAGATTGCAAGGTAAGATTTACAAATGGTGGGGCTGTGGGCGTTATCTCAAGGTGCCTGTCTCTACCTCTTTGTTTCTTTAGTCTCCACACAAGCTGAGTCATTGTCATCACACAAGCTGTGTCCTAAGGGGGAAAGATCCCTGTGGTGCCAAGTTGGATTTATGGCTCTGTATCTCTCTTGGGCATCTTTCTGCCCAGGGCTAAGGTATCTCTACCCTGCTGTTTGCCTTGTTGTGCAATGTAACCCCCTCCCCCACCCTGTCCTTCAGTGACCCTTCTAGGGGCCAGCCACACACCTGATTACTCAGAAGGCCAACATGAAGACCTATTTCAGACCCTTCCAGTTCTCTCCCCGTCCCCGGACCCCCAACAGGATTCTGTTCCCACTTTTGTCCCCTCCTCCATCCTCTACAAGAAGATAGGAGACCGCCTTCTACAACCTAGACACATCCCTAGGACACAGGGAGAGAGGAGCATGGGGTAGATTTCCTGGATCTTTCATCTACTCCTAGAACTCACTCTGTAGACCAGGCTGTCCTCAAACTCACAGTTCTACCTGCCTCTGCCTCGTGCTGGGACTAAAGGTGTGTGCCCCCACCATCTGAGCTGTTAAAATAATCTTGGTTCAGGAAATAAAAGGGCTTCCCTGGCAGCCTTAGGGATTTGGGCTTAGAACATACATGTGAAGGTAGGAGTGAGCCAACTCCACAGAGCTGTCCTCTGATCTCACACACACTTACATGTCATGGGTCACTACACACATCATATACACACATGTGCATACACATGCACACACATACACACACGTACACTAAATAATTTTAAATGTCTTACTCTTGAAGTTCTTAAGATGAAGTCTATGCCAGGCAGTGGTGGCACACGCCTTTAATCCCAGCACTCGGGAGGCAGAGGTAGGCGGATCTCTGTAAGTTCGAGGCCAGCCTGGTCTATGAGAGCTAGTGCCAGGATAAACTATAAAGCTACACAGAGAAACCCTGTCTCAAAAAAAAAAAAAAGTCTATTTAGAACCGGGTCACAGACCAAAGGATGGAAATAGCCCATTTTCACCCTCATTGAAACACTTGGAGGACCTTCATCCTTAAGTTCTGTTTTTAATTTAATTTTATTTTTATATCCTCTCTCTCTCTCTCTCTCTCTCTCTCTCTCTCTCTCTCTGTGTGTGTGTGTATGTGTGTGTGTGTGTGTGTGTGTGTGTGTGTGTGTGTGTGAACTGTCTGGTCAGAAGCATCCTTTGGGGGTCATTTCTTTCCATTCATTATTATGGGTCACCAGGTTTGGGGGCTGAGCCTTCTCAGGGCCCATCTTCAGATGCTTTTGTTGAGTGGAATTTATGGCATCTGGGCGCGGAGTCAAGACCACGTCCCCAACCCTGTTCTTAAATTCCAGTAGGTTAGAAGGGGGATAAAGAAGAAGAGCTCTCTTGCTGATACCCACTCCCTGAGACCAAGGAGAGATTGTTTAAACCAAGAAAGGAAGATTACTGGTTAAATCCTGGGATTAAAATGGATAAACTGGAACCCTTAGTTCCAGGTGAGTGGCCACCCATTAGATGACACAGCTGCTCACGTCTCCAGGGGAAGCCACAATGTCCCCAGTATCAGGAGGGGTCACGTGCTCTGCCTTTCAAAACTGTGTAAGTCACTAGGGCCAAGCACCCTAGCAGGCCAAGCGCCCCAGCCAGACCAGTACCCCTCCTAGACAGGTACCCACAAAGCCAAGTATCACACTGGAAGCCAGTTTTGGGGGACAGGCACCCCACAAGCCACACATCCATGTGCCTTGGATGAGGGCTCAGTTAATTAGCACGAGCTGCCTCTGACTCACCCAAACTACTGCCGTTTTTTTTTTTCCCTAACCCTCACATTCAGTATTTACAAAAAAAATTAAAAATCCAATGTGTGATTCTAAAACCAAGGGATGGGCCACACCGGCTACTGTGCGAGTCTCCCTTTAGCCGAGTAAAAAGGAAAACGTTGGTTTTGTGCTTTCCCCTTTAAAACAGAATAATAAGTACAGTAGAAAAATACATGAAAAATTATAAATCAGAACTGTTTACTGCCTGTGTCCTCTCTTTCTCCGGTGGTGGAACAGTCAAAAGCTTTTTTTTTTTTTTTTTTTTCTTTTTTGGTCTGGGCTGAGCCCCAGTGGCTGAGAGGCCCTGTAACTTTAAACCTGGCCTGAGGTCATCTTGTGATGCTGGCCAAACAGAGTCCGGGGGCGGTCCTAGATCTCTGGGCTGGGACCACCTGACGCCCACCCGCTCCCGCCCCGGGTTGAAGACATAAATGCTGTCTGCGCCGAGAAGTTGCCCGCTGCCAAGTTTGCTGTTCCTGCTGCTGCCGCGAGCCAAGGAAGCCCGGGCACTCTCCGGGACTTTTGCTCACCGCCTTCCAGTCTCCTGCAGAGTTCTTCCCGGCTGGGCCTGTAGTTGCGAAGCTTTTTTTCCGTCTTTTCACAACCACAAAAACCGCTAGCTGCTGAGGCTCCAAAGAGATCAAGATGTGGACGGCGCCAATGTTGTTTTGGGTTTTGGGGAGCGCGTGGTGCTGGCACTTTGCGCAGGGAGGTAAGTGTCCCGGCCTGAGTGGCTACCAACACTTGCTGGGGGTGGGGGGCGGATGAAGGGAGGCGGGGGTTGCCTGGGATCAGAGAGTGCCCTGGAGAAAGCTGGGGCAACTTAGTTGGGGCCAAGTCCCCAGGAACAGTCAGTGGGTGCGGAAGTAGTCCGGATCCACAGGTGGTAGGGGTGCGGAATGTCTCCCGCCTCCCGGGGGCGCGGGGTGGGGGAGGACTAATGTCGTGGAGCGGGAGGGTGATGCCAAGGGAGACTGTACTGGTCCAAAGAGCGGGGTATTAGAGGAATAGTTAATGTCTCTGGAAGAGAGGAATAGGCGGAAGGACAGGTTGGAACCAGGGGTCCCATCCTTGGGGACAGACCTGATGGATGGTAGCCCGGGTGGGAGGCGAAACAACTCGGAGTAGAGGAGGGGAACCGAAGGCCGCTGTCTTTCGAGCAGCCTTGTCTCTGCCTCCTTCCTCTGTTGACTCCAGCGCTGGGAATGGATGGAACCCAGGGCGTCCAGCATCTAAAGCTGTACCTCCTAACCTGGAGCATCGCCGTGAGCATTGAGGAGTAAGTGTGGTTGAGGCCAAGGACTCAGTGGCGTTTGTAAAAGACCAAAGGAGCTTAAATGCGCTAAGTTGGCAAAGTCCTTGCCTTGCAGGCCTGATGCTCTGGGTTCCATCCCCAGCAAGGTGCAAAAACCAGCGTAGCGATGTTCACCTGTTGATCTCAGCGTTGGGGAAACAGAGGCGTTTTCAAGGTCATCCTGGGGGCTACGCAGCGAGTTTGAAAGCAGCCTGGGCTTCAGGAGAGAACCTACCCTGTTTTATTTCTTGCCTTGCGTTTCTAGTTGTGTCTGTTTCCCTGGGGATTCTAAGCTCTAACTTTGATCCCAAACATCACCTGCTCCTCAGCGAGCTAGAGATGGAGCCCTGTCCTTCCCGGGAGGGAAGGAAGTGGTCTGTGTGAGCCGGGTGAGCCTAGCCTCGGCTTCTGTAATTCTCCACAGACAACACCTACCTAGTCTTGGGGAAATTATACAGCAGGCTGCTTCAAAGAGGCGAAGCTGCTCTTTATGGCACTCCGGGCTATTCCTGGCAGGCCTATCTTTGAAACTTCTCCTTGCGCTAGGATGATATATACAGTTCTGTATTTCAGTTCTATTTCTGGTCTGGCGAGACAATGTGTGTAAATGACATGGCGTTACACTCGCCCCAACCACATCCGAGGAAAGCCAGAGGCTGGCTAGCATCCTCTTAGGCAAGGGTAGGCTGCCACTCTCGGAAGCCAGTTCCCAAGGTGCTCCTAAAATGTAGCTGCTGTTCGGTCTTGTCTAGAGTCTTCGTTGTGCTATATTAGAAACTGTACAACTGAAGAAAGAGGCCTGGAAAAGAAAGGGGTGGCCATGTGGCCAGTGCTATGCAGGCTGTTCTGCTGCAAGATTGAAGCCTATAGGGGTTTTGTCTGGGAATAATGAATATGGATGAGCAACACCATTGAGCTGAGGTATTATTGGGGAGCCAGACTGGAGGTGATTGTGGTGTGCTAACTCAATTGTGGTCATGTGCCATGATTTAGTATTAGAATCCAACCCCCTTTGCCATCTCTAAAGTCTTCGTGGATTCTAAAGAGGACTGTTGTCCTCACATCTGGCATCTTCCTCCATTGCCAGGCCTCACCCTCGCTCTGAACATTCATCCAAAGCCTGTACCCGAGGGCCTGTCCGTTAGGCAATTAATTGTTGTAAGATTCTGAAAGTCGCTGCTTGCTGCTAAGCCATGTGTGCTCTTCCGGGACCAGTCCAAACAGGATTAATCATGTGGCAAAGAAATCATCCTGTGATTTCCCTGAAGTTCTTGCCAGTTTGGGGGAGGTGGGGAGCTGGAATCCTCGTGGGTTGCTGAGGGTTTTTGGTGCAGAGACGTTGAAGAAAGCTCCTTCTCTTAAAGATTCTGTGAGGGAAGCTTGGGCTATGGTTCCAAACTGAGTTCAGAAAGAAAAAGCACATTTGAAGCTCCGTGTTCGGCCCCAGAAGGCTGAGTGTCCCCGTAACCAACAGTACCCAACTCAGTTCCCCACTTACTGACTCAGTGCTGGCACAGACAGAGACCCAAATCTTGGCATGAGTGAGGGTGGCCCTGCCTAGTGGGCAGGGTACCACTTCGTTGCGTTCCCATCCCCCACCACATTCTAGGAATGTCACCAGACTACCTCGTTTAATCCCCGACAACTCCTGTAAATTATACACTATTATCTCAGAAGCTGCCAGAACAAAGATTCAAAAGCAAAGTCAAACTCCTCACTACTCCTGAACTAAAAAAAGAATTAAAAAAAAAAAGAGACAGTTGAACTTGACACCAAGGGTGGACTTCACTTTCAGTCCCTTAAACATGAATACAAACTTTCCTAGACTTCTTTCAGTTATGTGTTCCCCACACTGTAATCGGTGCATCAAAATAGATTGCCTTAATCCATCCTGCTCACAGGTGCTAAATACCTCCCAAGAGGGTGCGGCAGGTTGCTGGGTGCAGGAAAGCCGAACGTGTGCTCCGCCGCCCTCGCCAACCAAGAATGAACCTGTGCTCCAGATTGCACTGGCTTATCTGAATTTTTGTCATAGTTCTGGCTTTTGAGAACAGGCATTCCAGGTTACTACTTGTGGAAGTATTTTGGGGGAGGCTCCGAAGGGAGCCAACTCAAATGCCAGTCTTTCCTGGAACCCCACAGAGGATCCCCAGCCCAACCTCCCAGCGCTCAGGGAAACCCTTCTTATCCTGAAACCTCTCACTCAGGGAAGAAACCGATGTGGTTTTGTTAGAGGAGGGTCCATGACTGGAGAGGTTGAGACACTCTCAAAGCTGATGAGGTTGCTCACAGAATTCTCGCGGGGTACACAACAGATTAAGCTCCCTTTGTCTGCAATTCTGAGTACTTTGTCAATAGATGTCTTGAAATGTGTATGTCTGTGTGTGTGTGTGTGTGTGTGTGTGTGTGTGTGTGTGTGTAGGCCAAATCTTCCTCAATGACTCCGCACCCTATTTTAGAGACACTGTCTCATTGAACCTGGGGTTCTCCAATTGCTAGACTGAACAATGGCCCTCGGGAATCTGGTTGCCTCTACCTCCCCAGTGTTGTGGTAACAGATGGACCCTGCTTTTTGTGTGAGTCTGGGGGTTAGAACTCAGATCCTCATGTTCGCGTGGGGAATACTTACTAAATGAGCCATCTCTCCATCCCCTAGAAAGTTCTGGGAAAGGAAAGTGGTCAGGCTTTTCATCCAAGCTCGAATGCAGGATAGAGCCAGGTTGGGAAACAACTGGCATTCTGCCAAGTTCATCCAGGGCAGGAAATGGAGGTGTCTGTTTCCTCCCACGTGTCTAACCACAGCGCCTGGCTGTCCGTCATCCCAGCCCATTCTTGGCCAGCCAGGTGATGGGAAACTCTTGAACATTAACGGAAAGAGTAGAGCAAGGCTAGAGAGACAGCTGGACGGATAAAATGCTTGCTGTGCCAACAAGAGAGCCTTAGTTTGGTTCTCAGAACCATTTTAAAAAGCTGGGCGGTAGCAGGGATTTGTAATCTCGGTGCTAGGAATGCAGAGTCAGCCACATCACCCAGGCTCTCTGGCCAGCCAGTCTAGCCTAATCCACAAACTCCAGGCCAGGGAGACACCCTGCCTCAAAAAAAGATACCTAGAGACTAATACCTGAGATTATCCCTTGACTACAAACACACGCACGCACGCACATGTACCGGTACGTCTGTGTTTATATCTGGTCTCATGTCTTTGTCTCAGAGAACGGTTTGTATTTGGAGGTGAATCTGGTTAAGTTCAGAGGGAGACTTTTGACCTTGGCCAGCTGATCACTTCCTTGGAGAAACAGAAGACAAACATTGTAGACACAAGGCAAAATGGATGCAGTTTCAAAAACAAAAAACATATGCAAAGGATGAAGATGAGCTTGTGATTTCTGTCCAGAGGGTCAGAAACTGGAGAAATGCCTGGAGAGGTATGGGCAGGTCAACCTGCGCCACAGCGGGGCTCTGAGAGCGTCTGTTAAATTGGCAGGGTACAGGGGAATGCCAGTAGTTTGGAGTACAGTTGGAGGCCTGGGAAGCAGGGGTGCAAAATGTGTGAACAATACTGAGGGAGCAGGGTATTTCCCAGAGGCCATCATTGTGTTTTCACCAAGGGGAATAAAAGACAGCAAACAAACAAGGCTGTAAAGCAGAGGGGAGTGCCCCACCCGAGAGAGAAAGGAATTAGTTTGCTTGGGTTCTCTGGAAAGGGAGAGAGGGAGAGAGAGGCAACCGCCCTGCCCAAGGAATTTGCTTATTTGGCAGATACTTACCGGGTCCTTGCTATGTGTTCAGGCTTTGGAGCGTGGTGTTATCCTGCTTTGAGCTCCTAAGGGGAGGTCCGATCTGGCAGCTTTGGGGAGTCTGACCTCAGTTAGGGTGGGTCCTTGAGCATCAGAGATCTTTATTCCCTTAATCTGGCAAAACATTCCATCCAGTGCTTTTGTTCTACAGAAGATCAAACATCTCCGGAACCTTTGTCACTTGAGAGGGGCATGACATCAGTAGCAACTACATACGTAAAGTGCAGAAGAACAAGTCTTATTTGTGCGTGTGTGCGCATGCGCAGTTGTGGAGGCTGGAGGAAAAATCTCTAACTTGTCATCATTTTTAAAAAATTTTATTTTAAGATTTATTTTTATTTTTAAAAATTGTGTGAATGCATATATGTCTGTGTGGGGGTATGCGCACCTGAGTGCAGGTGCCCACACAGGCAGGGGGAAGTCAGATCTCACAACAGGCGGAGTTACTGAGAATTGTGAGCAGCCCGAAGTGGGTGCTGGGAACCAAGCCCAGTTCCTTTGGCAGTGTAGTATGAGCTCTCAACCGCGGAGCTACCTCTCTTTTCGGGCTCCCTACGTGGTTTCTCAGAGACAGGCTCTCTCACTGGTCTGGACCTTGTCAAGGACACCAGGTTTCGGGAG